TAAGGCTTTTTGGGCGACCCTAACGCAGGCCCTATAGGCACGCGGCAGGCACTCTCCGCGGCCCCTCCACCCGGGCCCCCGGTTACCTATAATCTACTTTTTGTCTTTATGGATTTTTGCGTTGTCCACATTTCATGTAAATGGGATCGGGCCATGTTTGTCCCTTGGTGTCTGGTTTCTCTCTCTGAGCGACACGTCCTAAATGTCCATCCACGTTGTAATAGGTGCAGAACGTCCTTCCTTTTCACGGCTGAGGTGTCGTCCATGTACTATGAACCCTAATCTGTATATCCATCCCTTCACCCACCCATGTGTCCATCCGTCCATGTGTCCATCCATCCATCCATCCACCCACCCATCTATCCATGTACCTACCCATCTCTCCATCAACCATCCCTCCATCCACCCATGTATCCATCCATCCATGTGTCCATCCATCCATGTATCCATCCATCCACCCATCCATCCATCCATCCACCCACCCATCTATCCATGTACCTACCCATCTCTCCATCAACCATCCCTCCATCCACCCATGTATCCATCCATCCATCCATGTATCCATCCATCCATCCATCTCTCCATGAACCATCCTTCCATCCACTCATGTATCCAACCATCCATCCATTTATCCATCCATCCATCCATCTACCCACCTACCCATCATGCATCCATCCATCCAACCACCCATCCATCCATTTATACATCCATCGTTCCATCCACTCATCCATCTACCCAGCTACCCGTGATGCATCCGTGTATCCATCATCCATTCCTCTACCCATCCGTCCACCCATCCATCCATCCATTGACCTGCCCACCTATCCACCATCTATCCCTCCATCCATCCCTTCATGCATCATCCATCAATCTACCTACCCTCCCATGATGCATCCACCCATGCCTCCACCCATCTCCCTATCAATCTATCCATTCCGTCCATCATCCACCCACCCATTCATCCATCCATCCCACCCATTTCTCATCCACCCATCCATCCATCCACCTACCCACCTCTCCATCATCCATCCATCCATCCATCGCTGGACATTGACCTTTCCGCTCTCGTGATCAGTGTTTCCATGGGCACAAGTGTGCAAACACCTGCTTCAGCTTCTATTGTCAATTCTCTAGTCTTTATTCCCAGGGGTGGACTCGCTGTCACGTGGCTGTGCTGTGTTTCTCGTGCGGAGGGTCCCCCACGTGGCTGCACCGCGACCCCTTCTTATGCGGGTCCCGGGTTCTCCACACCTCCATTCACATGTACTGTTTTCCATTTTTGACAATTCCAGCTGCCCTCGTGGGCTTGAAGGGCACGTCACCGAGGCCTTGGCTTGCGTTCCTCAGATGATTGGCGACGTCCAGCATCTTTTTGCGCATTTATGGGCCACGCACATATCCTGTTTGGAGAAACGGCGGTTTACGTCCTCTGTCCATATTTAAATTGGGTCTGTCTGTTTGCAGTTGAATTGCAAGGACTGTTTATGCGTTCTGGATACTAAACCCTCATCCCGCATATGACTTGCAAATATTTCCTCCCGTTGTGTGGGTTTTTTTTCCATCTTTGTTATTCCTTGCACTGTCTTGATGGTGTCCTTTGATGCACAAATGCTTTAAATTTTAATGCAGTCCAATTTATGCATATTTCTATTTTGTTCCCCGTGCCTTATTGCGTCGTGTTTAAACGGGCTTCTTTGACCGCAGCTATCTGTGTGATTCTCCGGTCGAGAGCGTGACGGATAACGTCACGGGCCCTGGGACTCTCGTGGGCAGGACCCTCGCTCTGGCCACCTCTGCTGCGAAACGTCCGTGGTCTGGGTTTTTGAAGACTTCCAACCCCCGTCGACGTACACGGAACGGAGCTCGTGTTTGAAATCGGCCGTCCAAACTGGACTTTCCAGTGGCGCCTCAAGTGTGCGGTGGCCGCAGAGTGCGGTGGCCCCAGAGGTAAGAGCCCTCCGTCCTCAGGAGGGTCCCGGGGCACGCCGGCGGTCACGGGAGCCGGCAGTGCCTGACGTGGACTGTAGTCAGTGGATGAGTGTGTGGGGCTCTGGACTGTCAGCAGGGGCGCCGAGACTGAGCACAAGTGGGGGCCCCATAGCCTTCAGGATGGGCAGCGCAGGGGCTGGGGCGTGAGGCCCCTATGGGGTCAGAGTCAGGGCAAGGAGCCCTTCTCCCTGCCAACCCTGGCGCTTGAAGGGGCTGCCTCACTACCCACGAACCGGTGAGCCAGGGACCCACGAATAAGTGCACAGCTACCCACGAACAGGTGCACACCTACCCATGAACAAGTGTGTCAACGACCCATGAACAGGTGAGCCAAGTACCCACGAACAGGTGAGCCAGGTACCCATGAACAAGTGCACACCTACCCACGAACAGGTGTGTCAACTACCCATGAACAGGTGTGTCAACTACCCATGAACAGGTGAGCCAAGTACCCACAAACAAGTGCACACCTACCCATGAAGAGGTGTGTCAACTACTCACAAACAGGTGAGCCAGGTACCCACGAACAGGTGCACACCTACCCATGAAGAAGTGTGTCAACTACTCACAAACCGGTGCGCCACGTACCCACGAACAGGTGCACCTGATGGGCTGGTGAGCAGTCAGTTCACGAAGACCCATTGAAACCACGAGTGCGATTCGCCGCGAGGCCGTGAGGAAGAGAAAGTGAACAGCACGAGTGCAGTGCCCTGTGGCCCCACAGACGACGTCCCAGGTGAGATCTTGCTGCGCGCAGGGGCCTAAACGCACTGCCGCCACCAGACGGACGCAGGGCCTTGCGGCCAGCGGGGTCGGGGTTTTGCGGGAATCGACCCGGGACACGGACCGGCATCGCTTATGCGCAGGTGTGGACCCGGAACGCGGTCGAGCCTAAGGAACAGAAGATCCCACTCTGTGAAATCTTCTGCTGAATGTAGCAGGGAAGCTTCTCCGCCGTTTCTCAGAGATGTGAGGCACCTCGCACGCTACGCACACGTACAAAATATTTGGTAGAAGCAGCACCAGGTGAAGGAAGCAAGTGTCTCCAGACCGTTTTCTTAGCTGCCGCGGCGGGAGGCGGTCCGTGCTCTGGACACAAAGTGGTCAACAGCGTCGCCCGGGTGTGCAGGTTGGGATTTGTGGCCGTCGGGGGTCCTGGCTGCCTGGTGGCAGCGTCTGGACATCCGTGAATCGGGGTCAACACCAGGAACTATTTAATTTCCGGCTCACATCCATGAGGAAGGGGTGTCCCAGGGAAGACAGTCCCGCTGGGGTGGGGACACAGGCGGGTTCTCTGATTTGTGGGGACAGGGCAGAGGTCCACGCAGACATCCCGATGGACAGGCTGTTTTCCAGCGTCAGCCTTCCGGAACCCGAATCCTTTCGGAAGGCGGATCGAGGACGTTGTGGATTGTTAATAACCAACAGAGGCTGTGTGTGCGCCCGGCGGCCAGCGTGCAATCATGTGTCCTGTGCTATTCACAGACCTCGCTGGCGTCTAGTGCGTCCGGGCTCAGAGAGGCCACGTTCCTGCTTCAGGTTGGCCTTTCCTGCGCATCGACGTTCCCCGATGTTCCCTCCCTTCACGGGAAGCCCTGAGCCGTGAAGAAAAGACGTCCACGCACATCTCCAACCCACACACATCGATTTTTTCCCCCATTTTCCCCTCTCTTCCCTGCATTTCCGTCTCGACCCCTCGCCCTCCAGAGTGCAAAACTGGCCGTTCTTCTTGTTCCTTGAGCCCCGATGGCCACTTCCCAGAAAAACCACCGGAAAAATGTGACATTTCTCTGTGCGGCTGTGAACGCCAACGGTGGATGCGGTGTCTTTTTTTAGTTTTTATTTTTTTGCAGCATTTCAGGGCGCGGCACGTATCGTTTCATTGGCTTTTCCTTTTAAAAATCAAATTACAATGTGACATTCAATAAAATATCTTTTGTGCAGCTAGTAAAAACGGGGCCCTTGCCGCCCTGACAATTAAGGTACACGTTGCCTCCTGTGATACAGTTTATGGGTTCACTTTTATGTCAGCTTCTCCTGTTTATATATATTTGTTTTTTTTTTAAAAAAGCCCCATTATTTATTAATAGCCTTCTATGTTTTAAAAGTTTCTTTTTCTTGTGTGCAGAGAAAAAAACATCATTTGCCTTTTAATGGGGTGTCAGATTTGTTTTCCAAACCTTGTAGAAGGGTTATCGTGGTTATGTATGGAGAAGAGCTTTCTTCAGAATCAATGAAAACTCTGTTTGGAACGTAATTCACGGCCCTCCCTCGGCGGTTCCGTGGAAAACTTAATTTCACCATTTTGCAAAGTGGAGGGGTGGGACCTTTCTCTGCGGTTAACTATTTTCACATGGAGGGAAACGCCATCTCAGCCCCTCACACGTACTAAATAACCCGCAGGCCGCGCCACGTCCGGGCCATCTTGGCAGCATGGTGGGGGTCAGAGCTCACGGAGATGTCCGCTTCAATTAGGGACGTCGTAAAGCTGCTGGGAATTAACTCTCCCCCGCCCCTTCCGGCCAGGCGCCCAGCCTGATGCTTAGAGCCACAAACACGAGCCCGGAAGACTCAGGCTCTGCTGCTGACCGGGTTTTCTTCTACGGGGGCCGTGGGTTGCTGCCCTTGGCCGTGGGAGACACGGTCGCTGACCACCCAGCTGGTGTGAGCTGACTACAAGGGTATGTTATTTGTCCCGCCCACTCGGCACGGGCCATTCTTCGTTCGCCCCTGTGCGCCCAGGGGACCGGCCAGCCCCAGCGCGGTGCGTGCCTCCGACGGTCGGAGTCACTGTGGCACTGTGTGCATTCATGAGTGTCTGAAGATGGCCTGATGTGGACGCGGAGTTTGAGGAGCTGTTCAGCAGGAGGGGCAGAAGGCACACATTTTGGCAGAGCTCGGCTCGTTGGGGCTGCGTGTTGGTTTCGTAGATGGAAGCAAGTCTACGTGTCCAAGGGAGGTGGTGGTTGCTCCACTGTCTGTGTTTAGGGAGGGAAAGAATGTGGTCCCTGTCACGTGAGCAGGTCCCCTGCCCTGAGATGTCCAGGCTCAGTCCCATGCTCAAGGCGTGGGAGGAGGGAGAGTGTATCCACATCTATGTCCATGTCCACATCCACACCCACGTCCACATCCAGACCTGTATCCACATCCACACCCACGTCCACATCCACGTCCATGTCCACATCCACATCCATGTCCACATCCACATCCAGATCTTTATCCACATCCACTTCCACGTCGACATCCACATCCACACCCACGTCCACATCCAGACCTGTATCCACATCCACACCCACGTCCACATCCACGTCCATGTCCACATCCACGTCCATGTCCACATCCACATCCAGATCTTTATCCACATCCACTTCCACGTCGACATCCACATCCACACCCACGTCCACATCCAGACCTGTATCCACATCCACACCCATGTCCACATCCACATCCAGATCTTTATCCACATCCACATCAACATCCACACCCACACCCACGTCCACACCCACGTCCACATCCACACCCAGATCCACGTTCACGTCCACATCCCGACCTGTACCCACATCCACATCCATGGCCACATCCACATCCAGATCTATATCCACATCCACATCCACATCCACGTCCACATCCACGTCCACACCCACGTCCACATCCACACCCAGATCCACGTTCACGTCCACATCCCGACCTGTACCCACATCCACATCCATGGCCACATCCACATCCAGATCTATATCCACATCCACATCCACATCCACGTCCATGCTCACATCCACACCCACATCCAGGTCCACGTCCACATCCGTGTCCACGTCCACGTCCACATCTGCATCGACATCATGTTGCCTGCCTCTATAGATCAATGCCGTCTGTATCTATGTTCATATATGCTACGGGGTCAGGTTCTCTGCAGACCTTGACTAACAGTCTGTCCCAAACACGCAAGCACGGGGGACCGTGGCCAGAGTTCCAGGGTCACAGCTGCACCTGGGATGCCCAGGAGGGTGTGAGCACGACGCAGTGAGGTCTTCAGTTGGTGGAAGTTCTTCCAGAGGAGAACAGGGTCCCTTACAAATAAGAAGCCTGGGGGTTAAGTAAGCTTCGCGCACCTACAGCTCCGTGCGCTCTGTGCTGAAGCCCTAGCTTGGGGCAGGTCACGTCCTGAGCTCACAGGAGCAGGAGCAGCCAGGATTGGGGGGTTAGCACCCGGTTTTGGACGTTGGGAAGCAGGTGCATGAGTGGGGAGTGAGCTAATACACCTGAGGGAGCTGAGTGCCCAGCCGGGGGGAGGGAGGCCGAGGCCCAGGCTGAATCACCGGCACAGTCAGGAGGGGTTTAGACCCCCCACTGCACGGTATTGGGTACCCCGGGCACTGTGATGGGATGGAGAAGGTGCCAGGGGGAAGGCACTGGCTAAAATGGGGGGGGGTTCCCCTAGACCCTGCGAACAGCACTTGTGGTGGGGTGCATCCCCAGGCGGGGACGGGGATGGGGCTGTGTCCCCTGGAGACAGGAGGGGAGATTGTCTGGGTGTGGCAGATGGGGGCACACGTGGGCACACCCCTCCCCCCACATGTTGTATTCGGGGTGCATGTGTGGGGTGTCAAGTATAAGTAGAGAAAACGGAGAGAATTGTCACTGTACAATCCCAGGCAGTCCCCACCCTGCGTGGGGAGGTGACATGGGGTTGGCGAGAGGCACACGGGCGGCTTTTATACACTACGACGGTTCGAGGTCGTGATGGTTCCTCAAATTCTACGTCAATTTAGTCTTTGTGTGAGACTTAGCACCAAGGCAGGGGCTTAAAACTATAGGAATTTAGTTTCTGCCAGTCCTGGAGACCGGAAGTCTGAGATCCAGGTGGGACGGGGCCCCTGAGATGGGGGGCGGGGCCGCTGACACCAGGGGGCGGGGCCACTGAGATGGGGGCGGGTCCACGGAGATCCAGGGGCGTGGCCGCTGAGATGGGCGGGGCCGCTGAGATGCAGGCGGGGCAGGACCACTGAGGTCCTGGGGGCGGGGCCGCTGAGATGCAGGGGGCGGGGCCGCTGAGATGCAGGCGGGGCAGAACCAAGGAGGTCCAGGGGGCGTGGCCGCTGAGATGGGCGGGGCCGCTGAGATGCAGGCGGGGCAGGACAACTGAGGTCCAGGGGGCGGGGCCACTGAGGTGCAGGGGGCGGGGCCGCTGAGATCCAGGGGGCGGGACCACTGAGATCCAGGGGGCGGGGCCACTGAGCTGGGGCGGGACCGCTGAGCTGGGGGCGGGGCCGCTGAGACGCAGGGGGCGGGGCTGAGCTCCCTCCTGAGGCCCCAGGGGAGGGTCCTTCCCGCCTCTCCCAGCTCCTGGGGCCCCAGGGTCCCCGGGCTCGTGGCCGCGTCCCCCCGTCTCTGCCTCCGTCTTCACGTGGCTTCTCCCCTGCGTCTGCGTCTCCTCCTCCGTCTCTTCCAAGGACACCTGGCTTTGGATGTAGGGCCCCCCAGACCCAGGACAACTTCATCTCAACGTACATCTTAATGACATCTGCAAAGACCCTATTTTCTAAAAGGATCACATTCTCAAGCTCGAGGGGCTAGGACTCCAATGTAACTTTTTGGGGCCACCATCCACCCCCATACCCCTCTTTCTTAAGTCCCTTACACAGCGAAAGCAGGCAGGTAATGGAGCAGCTTTCTGATGGACTCGGCTGTACCGACCCCCAAGACTGATGATGGAGATGGTAAAATGGGACGATAACGTGATGTTTAACCTGCCCGGGAAAGATGCAGTTTAGCAAGTCAACATTGTGCAATGGTTTTCTTGTCTTCTCCCTTTGTGCATGGGATGATCTATGTTACATTTTCCTTTTGCACCAACTCTGTGATCTTACCTAAGATAAACTTTCATCAAAAGACGAATGAACAGAAAGTTTAAAAGAAATAGATTAATCACCAAATAATTGTGTTCAGAGTGTGTCCAAGTATAGAAAATCAGGGCATTCGCAGAGAAGAACATATTTCAATATTTATGAAGCAATTTTTCTATAATTAAGAAGAATTCCGTAATAGGTTTTTATTGTTGTCATTCTTTTGAATCTTAATCCATAAACTGTTGTCAAATCATTAAAAGAAAAATGTATAACTCCGACGTGAATATCTTCCCTTTGATGAGCCTGGCCGTATACGAGTTGTTTTAGGTTTTTGGATCATGTTGGGGGATAAATAAAGGCCATTAGAAGTTTCTGACTAATTAGAACTCTGAAAACAGAGGTGGGAAAAGAGGGAGGTAAAGGAGAGAGAAAGAAAGGTATCCAGCTGACGACTGAGATGGGCATCTCTCTGTTGCCCACCTGTTCATTCATTAAAGAAGAAACATATTTTGTGCTGCAGACATTCCTAGGGCAGAATGGTGAGGGTCCGGGGGGCTCATTTCCAGAAGGAAAGGAAGGCCTTCCACCTCACTGGGGTCCAAAGCTGTTTTATCCCAGGATGGAGTAAACAGGAAGCTGAAGACTTGGGGGGAAAGGAGATGGCCATGTGTGCATGATTCACAGGCAAAGTTGTCCCAGATGGGGGCCAATATGAGGCTCTTCCCAGGGTCTCCGATTGGAGCAACCCTGTATCAGCCAGTGTTCTTCAGAGATACAGAATCAATAGTCTGGATGGATGAATAGATGAGAGAGAGAGAGAGATAAAGAGATAGATATGATGGATGGGTGAATGGGTGGATGGATGGATAATAGGTAGATAGATGGATATATAGATGATGATAGATAGATAGATAGATAGATAGATAGATAGATAGATAGATAGATATGATGGATGGATCGATGGATCGATGGATCGATGGATCTATGGATGGATGGATGATAGATGGATGGGTGGGTGGATGGGTGGATGGATGGATGGATGGATGGATAGATAGATAGATAGATATGATGGATGGATTGATAGATAGATAGATAGATAGATAGATAGATAGATAGATAGATAGATAGATAGATAGATATGGTGGGTGGATGGATGGATAGATAATAGCTAGCTAGCTAGATGAGGGATGGATGAAGAGAGGAATAGATGATAAATAGATGAATAGATAGATTCAGATAAATTAGATTTACATATAAATGTAGAGAGATAGAGAGATGATAGGGAGATAGACATTTGTCATAACAAACTGGCACATGCATTTACGGAGTATAAGAAACCCCACCATCTGCTGTGTGTCAGCTGGAAACCTTAAGGAGCCTGTGATATGAACCAGTGTGAGTCTGAGTGTGAGAACGAGGAAGGCTGGTGCTGTAACTTTCAGTCCAAGGGCAGGAGAAGATGGAAATCAGTGAGAAAAGGGGCAAATTACCCCTTCTTTTGCCTTTTGGGGCTATGCAAGCCTTCACCTGATTAGACCAGGCCCACCAACACTGAGGAACACCATCTGCTTTGCTCAGTCCACTGATTCGGTGTTAACCTCACCCAGAAACACCCTTCGAGGGACAGCAAGAGTCACGTTTGGCCAAATATCTGGGCGCCGCACAGTTCAGTCATGTTGACACAGCCCGGTAACGCTCACAAGCCCCGACGAAGCTCAGGACCGCCTCCCTCTCTCTGCCCAACCTAAGTTCTGCTGGGGACGTTTTCTGCGAGCTTTGGGTTTTCCTGTCGACAGTGGTCAGGACGCTTCTGCTCACTTCCCTGTAGGATGAAGGGGCCCATCGGGGGAGGCTGACCCTGGCTGGCGGCCGTAGACACAACGGAGCGTAGGACACAGAGGTCAACACGGGGACAAATCAGCCTGGTCCCCTTCAGTCCCTCCTCCCTCCTGGCCGGCGCTGAAACAGCACGGACGTGGCGGCACGCCGGGGAGCGTCTGGGGGGAAGGACACGCCCGTGTTTTGTGCACACTCAGGTCTGTGTGGTACGAGCCTCCGTCTGCACGCCCATCGCGGGCCGTGGGTAATGAGCTGTGTGTCAGGAGCCAGCCTTCCCCCGGCCGCCGAGGCCAGCCTCCCTCCCCGGGGCCCTGAGCTTCTCCTCTGGATGCTAACGAAGGGTAACGAGGCACGTGGTGGCAGCGGGGGCTGAGGAAGGGGGCGGAGAGCGGCCGTGGCCGGGGAGGGTGCTCGCACCTGTCGCTCGCTGCACGGAAGGCCCCGCCTGTGCCGTCTCTAGGAAGCTGCCGGAAACCGTCTGAGGCAGCCCGCAGGAGCTGAGGTGGGGGTCATGAACGAGGGACGTTCACGGGTCACAGCTCTGAAGTCAAGGTCAGCGTGCCCACAGACCAGGGCTCTGGACACCCCTGTCTCCTGGTTCGTATCCGGCTGTGCTCGTGGTGGAGAGAACGGGGGGCTCTGGGTCTTCTTCCTGTGGACCCTGATTCCATCGTGGGGGCTCTACCCCGGGACCCATTCATGTCCGAAGGCCCCGTCCCCCCTTCTACCATCCCCTGCGTGTTGCTTCAGCAAAGGCAGAAACACACACACCAGTGGGTGAGTGAGGGGCGTCCTGTCTTCCTGTGGTTTCCGCGGCTGCTGTTACACCTTCTTACCCAGCACCGCTGAGCTCACCGCTGCAGACGGGTCGCGGGGTGGACGGCCAAGCCCGGACGGTGCAGACAGTACCGACAGTGGGGTGTAGACCTTTGCAGGACGTGGACACCAGAAGCCAGGAGGGAGGGAGTGTGAGCCTGGCTCAAAGGCTGGTCCCAGACCACCTTCTGCAGTTCGTGCTTTGGGGAAACAAGGAGGGGTGTGGGGGGGAGACAGGTGGTGAGGGCCCCAGGGCAAGTCCCGAGTGCTGCGTGGATACGAGGAAGGCCCGTCCCTCCCCATATGGGCACGGCCGCGTGGTGCCCCGCATTGCACAGGGGAGAAGCTCTCTTTTTCTTCGTCTTCTAATTATTCATTTTTCAGAGACAGAGCGTGAGTGGGGGAGGGGCAGAGAGGGAGACACAGAATCGGAAGCAGCTCCTCCGAGCTGTCAGCACAGAGCCTGACGCGGGGCTCGAACCCACAAACCGTGAGATCATGACCTGAGCCCAAGTCGGATGCTTAATCGAATGAGCCCCCCAGGCGCCCCTTTGTTTTCTTTTTTTAAAGCATGCAGCCGCACGCCAGAGAAATAAATACACAGCACACCCCCCGTCCCCAGGCCTTCCTGGGTGTGTCCGGAGCCCCATCATCTGTCGGCGGCCCCTCTGAGTCATGCAATTACAGCCTCCCGCGTGGCTCAGCCTCCTGGACCGTCTCTTAATTCAATTCCCATCTATGAAAACCTGCACGGGGCCTCCCAGGGGACGAGGTGCCACTCGGGGCTGACAGCCGTGATAGGCGCCCGAGCGCTCCATCTTCAGAGGTGGCGTGGACATCCTTTCTCGTCGCGTGGGTTTTACGTGGTCACTGCGTGGACAAGGGGACGCGGCCCCGTGAGGTCTGCACGGTGGGGCTCAGACGCACTTGTAGGGAAGGAAAGACACAAGAAGTAACAGGCACCTGTGTCTGAGGAAAAGCACTGGCTGGGGCATTCAATGACCCCTTGATAGTCACGGCATCTCTGTCCGTCATGAAGAGTGCCTCAGAGATGTGTCATGGTCGGCGTCCCCATGTGACTGGCCAGGGCATTCGATGACCCCTTGATAGTCACGGCGTCTCTGCCACGGGTTCAAGAGACCGTGGTTTTCTCTGCACACACGTGAGCTGTATGGGGCTGGGGGGCCGACCCTGGCTTGGTGGGGTCCGCGGCTCCTGCGTTCTCACGGGAGCTCTTTTCCAGCAGAAGAAAAGAAGGTGCCGGCACCCACGGGAGCCGACCCCACGCATGTGAACTGCTGCTCTGATGTCCTGAGCTGTGGGACGCACCCGCCAAATTCCCACGTGTCTCACTTACCGACTTGTAGACGAACAGTGTCCAGGTCCTCACACGCAGATGTGCTCTTCGGGGCCGTTGTGCTGGGTGGGACCTTGCTGGGGGTTTTCCCTGGGCCCCCTGACATCCTCAGAGCGAGACGAGTCACCCACCTGCCAAGGTCTTCTTTATGGTTCACAGATGCGCGACACGGTGCCCAGCAACACGTCAGATTCAGAGAATGTTTCTTTTCTTCCAGTATAAGTATGTCTCAGGTATTGAAAGGGATATACTTATACTAACAAACCCCACCATGATTTGTTTTTCTGAAATTTAGTTTTTACTTACTCATCCTGTATTTTTATGTGGTCAAAATGGCAACCTTAATCAGGCTTTTTCCTCCTTAGGACTCGAGCACGTAAGGCCTCACACAAAACGTGCCTTCCAGATACAACTTAGGATGAGTTGGCACGTTGGGTAGTAGAAGTCTTCCATCTATATCTGTCTGTCTCTCCATCTATCTATCGATCCATCCATCATATCTATCATCTATCTATGTATCTATGTATCTATGTATCTATCTATCTATCTATCTATCCATCCATCCATCCATCATATCTATCTATCTATCTATCTATCTATCTATCTATCTATCTATCTATCAATCATCTATCTATCCATCCATCCAATTATACATCCATCCACCCATCCATGAATCCACCCATCCATCCATGCATCCATCCATCCATCCACCGATCGATCCATCGATCGATCGATCCATCCATCCATCCATCCATCCATCCATCCATCCATCCAATTATACATCCATCCACCCATCCATCAATCCACCAATCTATCCATCCATCCATGCATCCATGCATCCATCCTATGATCTATGTCTATCTATCTATCTATCTATCTATCTATCATCTATCTTTCCATCCATCCATCCAATTATGCATCCATCCACCCATCCATCCATCTATCCATCCATCCATGCATCCATCCATCCACCCATCTCTCCATCCACCCATCTACCTGTCTATCCATCATCCATCCATCCATCCATCCACCTAGCCATCATATCTGTCTATATGCCTATGTATGTATGAATGTATCTATCTATCTATCTATCTATCTATCTATCTATCTATCTATCCATCCATTCATCCATGCATCCATGGACAGGTGAGGGAAAATGGACTCTACGCTGTGCAGCTGAGCACCACCGGTGATGCTGCCTGTTCCAGAGCTAGCCTGTCCCTCTGGCTTCGTAATCCAGGCCTGAGCATCCCTGGAGGGTTGGGGATACGGTGGGGGCCCCCAGTCCTGAGTCTGAGGTGGGCAGCAGCGCTCAAAGCTCCTTGACCTTGGCTGCTGGCACCCGGGTCGCCTCGCTGTGCTGAGCATGTGTGAGATAACCCTACGAGGTGGACGCAGGAAGGAACCTGAAGGCGGTGTGAGCCATGTCCAGAAAACAGCATCCCAGGTGTCCGGCGGGAGGGACGGGCACTAACAAGCAGGCTGGGATGTCCTGTAGCGCAGGTACTAGCTTCGTAGGGGAGGGACCGCATCCCTTCTCTGTACCTGGGCCGGGTTTGGCCTGGGGAGGGGTGAGGCGGGCCTCGCTGACCCCTTGGGGTCGCAGCTTCCCCGACTGTCTGGGGAGGGTCCCTGGATGCATCCGGGGGGCCGGCCCAGCAACGGGCCCCCCCCCGGGCCGGGAGTCCATTCTCCGAGCTTCTGCTTCTCACCGTAGTTAATAAGTCAGGACGTGGAAGAGAGACTCATGGTTAATTTTCCGCAGCCGGTGCAGAGTGTCTGAGCCCATAAAGCGCGGCGGGGCTCGGGCTGTGAATTTCCCGATACTGACAAGCCAAACAGCTTAGAAATCATAATTATAAGGTACAAGTGTCTTCGGGTTGTTCTTGTGACATAAAACTAATTTCATGTTTTTATTCATCATGCGGGCGAGACAGAGGCAGGCTCCGGAGGGCGCTCCCCACTTCACAGGCGCGTCCCCGGCCGTGATGAGCGGAGACGGCGCCCGCGGCCCCTTGCGGCCGCCCGATGCGCCGACTCGCTGCGGACAACCTGGCCGACCTGGTCCCTGCTGTCGCCGACAGTCGCTCGGGTGACCGGGCGCAGGGCTGGGCCCGCTTGGCCGCAGAGTCGCCGCGTGGCGCTGTGCGCATGCGCAGACCGCAGGCGTGCGTGTGCGCCTGGCGGCCGGTCCGCTGAGGGTCCGGGGGCGGCCGTGCCCGCTGAGAGGCAGGGGCGGGGCCGCTGAGATGGGGCGGGGCCTGGAACGG